ATACGATGATTCCTAGAACGTACTACGTACATCGCAGTATATTTGAGAATGTTCTGAGAATATTACAATTATACTTTTGCGATATTCTCAGATTGTTCTCAGTATCTACATGTGCTGTTAGGGTTATTATGTTGTTATTAATATTTCTATTATTAAACAACTCTTATTATATATATATATTTTATTATATTATATATAATTAATAAATAATTATATATAATTGTATATATATTTTATTATATATATATTATTGAATTTTACACTATACCAGAATGGTAACTCAAATTTCTTTTGCCTTATTTTCCGCCGGACTTGCGATCTAACCTTATTCTGCACGGCCGGTAAAACATGCCCCTGCCGATAAACAAATAGGCAACCCGACTTACTGATCTGTATGTTGCGTAAGCACTCTGTACTTATCTTGTGAGTTATGTTACGTTGTGTTTGATTGTGCCAATCAGAATGTTAAATGAAATAAAATTTTTTATTGGGTTTGCGACTTGTGTCGCTTCGTCCGTTCTTCTTATATTTGCCCATTAAGATAAATTGAACAAAAAATGATTTTGTATTTGCATTATGTTGAATACTTCTGAGTTCTTACTTTTTAATAATCCTAACAGATTATTCCTTATGTCTACTTACCAAACCTAACACTAAATTTATTTGGAACTTATTTATAAATTTATTTTTTTTAATATTAACATTAGAAAGCAATGTGCATTGAAGCTCTTGTGCTGGCAAAGTTTTTATACGAAGTATGTCATAGATGAATTCAAGCATTTTTAATGTGCAACATGTCTGAGCGCGCGATTTATTGACAACCTGATTGGTTAATTTTAAATCCCATTTAAAAACTATTGCAGCCTCGACATTTTAGTATTAAGATTTTTGTCTTCAAACGATCTCAGGAAACTATCGTTAACGGTCCTGTATAACCCGCGAACTGCTGCTTGTACTTAGAATTAAATAATGTTCCAACAAGCAGTTTTATACAGTTCTCTAGAGCTTGCTACTGTATCTCTTTGTTAGAAAACGGCCAAAAATGATAATACTCCTATGCTTATTTTTTTTTGTGATTTTAATTTCAAACATTAGATAAAAAATATTTACTAAAAACTATTATTCTTGAAAACAACAAGCTGATACAGCAGGAGCTAGTTATAATTGCTCAAATTTTCCTTTTATTATAAAATAATTACAAAAGAGACGTTTCGGCCTAAAGGACGTGGCCATCTTCAGTGTAACAAATTCATATGTCGTCGTTAGTCGGAAAACGTTGACAAGATAGTCAGAATAATTTAGGTAACGCATCCTGTTAATGTGAAAACGAACAAAACGAGTTAAAAACGTTCTCCAATCACGAAATTAACGAACAACAGATTTTAGAAAATTAATTATGTATAAATACCTTTTTTTTTGACATGGATAGTACATTTTTTCATAATTAAACTTATGTGAAGCCAAGGATCATCTAACTTGCAAATAGAAAAAGAAATAGGTCAGAGATTACTAAAAAATTTTTAGGAAAGAACATTGACTCAGTTAAGAAAATGTAAAAAAAATAAATAAAAATAAAAAAATTAGATTAAAATTAAGGTTCAAAATTAAAAGAAAAAACAAAACTAAACCGAAAAATAAATTAGTTTCAAAAAAGATATATACCTTAGAAGATCCGTTAGACATATGTATCAAATAAATAAAATAAGACATGCGTCGACGGCAGTGAGCCAGGCTTGACTGGCAAAATGTAAGAAAGAGGAGAGGGGATAGCTAATGGAAAAATTTTAAAGGGTGGGGAATTTCTTAAGGATTGGAAGATATGTGTCAGGTAATGCCGTATCCTCCTGTTTATTCAGTCCTGTACTCTGTTTTTTTATATGTAGCATTTCGGAAGTTAATCTTTTACTATAACACGGTTCTCTGTCTATTATGTCAACTTTGTCCCATTTGAAGTCATGATTGAAATCCTTTCTGTGGCAAGAAATTACTGAAGGGGAACCTGATTTTTTATTGATATCCGTTCTGTGTTCTTTTATTCTAGTCCGTAATTGCTTTTTTGTCTGTCCTACGTACGTGGCGTCACAGTCTTGACAAGAAATCTTATAAACAATATCACACTGGTTCATCCTGTCTAAAGAGTCCTTTCCAGTTTTTATGATTTTGTTTAATTTGTTGTTGCATGAAAAGGCCAACATACAGTCATTTATTTTTAAAAATTGAAAAAATTGTTCAGATAAATTTTTAACATACGAAATCGTAAGAATTTTCCTTTTTTATTATTATTATCGTTGTTCTTATCGTCAGTTTTGTTAAAATTTTTGTGTATGTGAAAATTAATTCTGTTTCTAATATTTGAGAAAATCTAGTGGATAACTATTGTTTAACAGAATTGTTATTATGTTTTCAAAATTTTTTTGTTGAAAACGTGGATGTGAGCCATAGGGCTTCATCGACCATGCCAAAAATGACACCTTTTTATGAGATAAAGGATGGTGTGAGTGGAAATTTAAGTATTTTCCCGAGTATGTCTGTTTGTGAAAAATGTCCAATATGATCTTCGAGTTATCATTTATAATTAAAACATTGAGAAAATTTATCCGATTATTATTGTTAACTTTCAGTGTGAATTGCAACCTTAGATGTATGGAATTGAAGATCGTAGTGGTTTCATTTAGTAAATTATATGGGACTGCAATAAGGATGTCGTCAACATATCTATAATAAAACGAAGGTATGCATGGTAAACGTTCCATGGCTAAACATTCCAGGTCTTGTAAAATAATGTCCGCTATGATGGGGGATAAGGGAGAGCCTATTGGTGTACCAAAAATCTGTTTGTAAATTTTATTGTTAAAACTAAAGAACGTAGAATTTAAGACTAGAGTGATACCCATAACCAATTCATTAAGTGGTATGGAAGTATGGCCCCTTATCTGATTCCACCGTTTCTCAATGCTATCACCTGTATTTTCAATTCCATACATCCAAGGTTGCAATTCACACTGAAAGTTAACAATAATAATCGGATAAATTTTCTCAATGTTTTAATTATAAATGACAACTCGAAGATCATATTGGACATTTTTCACAAACAGACATACTCGGGAAAATACTTAAATTTCCACTCACACCATCCTTTATCTCATAAAAAGGTGTCATTTTTGGCATGGTCGATGAAGCCCTATGGCTCACATCCACGTTTTCAACAAAAAAATTTTGAAAACATAATAACAATTCTGTTAAACAATAGTTATCCACTAGATTTTCTCAAATATTAGAAACAGAATTAATTTTCACATACACAAAAATTTTAACAAAACTGACGATAAGAACAACGATAATAATAATAAAAAAGGAAAATTCTTACGATTTCGTATGTTAAAAATTTATCTGAACAATTTTTTCAATTTTTAAAAATAAATGACTGTATGTTGGCCTTTTCATGCAACAACAAATTAAACAAAATCATAAAAACTGGAAAGGACTCTTTAGACAGGATGAACCAGTGTGATATTGTTTATAAGATTTCTTGTCAAGACTGTGACGCCACGTACGTAGGACAGACAAAAAAGCAATTACGGACTAGAATAAAAGAACACAGAACGGATATCAATAAAAAATCAGGTTCCCCTTCAGTAATTTCTTGCCACAGAAAGGATTTCAATCATGACTTCAAATGGGACAAAGTTGACATAATAGACAGAGAACCGTGTTATAGTAAAAGATTAACTTCCGAAATGCTACATATAAAAAAACAGAGTACAGGACTGAATAAACAGGAGGATACGGCATTACCTGACACATATCTTCCAATCCTTAAGAAATTCCCCACCCTTTAAAATTTTTCCATTAGCTATCCCCTCTCCTCTTTCTTACATTTTGCCAGTCAAGCCTGGCTCACTGCCGTCG